AAAAATAAATTATATATATTATATACTATATAGTTTGTATACTATATGTATAATTGAATCGATATATTATTTGAGGTTACGTTTAACATATTTGTTATTTTTTGGAATTTTATTTTTATAATGTATAATTCCAAATTATTAAAAAAATTAAGTATTTTAAAAAAATGTATGTGCTTAAAGATTACAGGATGAAAAATTTTCGTTTGTTTTATATATAAAAATATGTAATAAGTGATAATTAGCGATAAAGTTTAATTTGATATATCAAATATTTTTACTAGTAAAAAAGTTATTGAAATATATGAAAAAATTTAATTAATAAAGCAATTGTTTTTTAATAAATATATTAAGTTAAAAAAATTTTTCAGGTTGACTCGTAATTCAACCACAACGTTACAATGTCAGGAGGTTTAGATGTATTAGCTCTTAAAGAAGATGATGTTACAAAAATGTTGGCTGCTGGTACCCATTTGGGTGCTGAAAATGTCAATTTCCAGATGGAACAATATGTGTATAAAAAAAGAGTTGATGGCAAGTATATGATTACATTCTTGAAATTTTCATAAATACTTTTTTTAAAAATTTTATAGTGATTTATAGATTATTATATTTATTATTATATTAGCATATTATAAACCACTAATGATATTAATAATGCAAACTACAAGCATTTTATAATTTTTATTAATATATATTTTGACTACATGATCAGTATCTTGATAAATGAATTTTATAGGTGCTGGTGTAAATGTTATCAATCTTCGCCACACCTGGGAAAAGTTGTTGCTTGCCGCTCGTGCTATTGTCGCCATTGAACATCCCAGTGAAGTTTTTGTTATTAGTTGCCGTCATTCAGGTCAAAGAGCTGTATTAAAATTTGCAGCTCATACTGGTGCCACTCCCATCGCTGGACGCTTTACTCCTGGTGCATTTACCAATCAAATTCAGGTAAAATAAATATTCTTTTTACCTTTTTTAAATATAAATATTTTTATTATAAATATAATTTTGTAAATATAATCAATATTAACCTTTGAAATAAAACTTTTCTAATAAATAAGTACTAAGATATGTACTAAGTTTGATGTATTTTTTTATATGAATAGCTAAATTTATATGGATTCAATTATATGGATTAAAAAATTATTAAATTTATTTTCAAGATATAAAAATATTTTGCCATTTATTCAATACATTAATTGAAATGAGTGCATTCAGCAGAATAAAGAGATGAAGTCAATGTCAGTGAATGTCAATAATTATTGATCTTTACTGTTAGATCCTTAAATTTAGACCAATTACATTGACAAATTACTCAAAAATACAATTAGTGTACAATTAAATCTGAGTGCATCCATTGAGTGAATCAACTTTTTATTCTAAATTATTGATTGCATATCTAATTGACTTAGCAGCACTTAGATGTCGATTGGATATATCATGTAAATTGCTGGTCTAAGAGTAAAGTACAGGCACATACATTCAAATTATTGAGTCTCATATCTTTAGACTTCTTTTTATAGGATTATTTTAAATAACAGATAAACACAACGTTATCTATCAATGCTCAAAATTTAAAGGATAAAATTTTATAAATTTGCTATACAGTAAGTTCATAAATTTTTTATCGGATATGTAATGCGATATTGCATACTGTTCAAACACAGAATTTTATGGAAAATGTTTGCATGGTTTGTTCTAAAAGATCTATTTCTAACGAAAAAGATTTATTTATTTATTTATTTTTTGTAAAATTTGAAATAAAAATGCATGAAATATTAGAGTTATCAAAAAATGAATAGTTTACGGGATATTTTGTATTTTATATCAGAACATACTAAAATAAAGTATAAAATATCTCGTCAAATATTGACTTTTTAATTTTAATATTTTTATATCCAGAATTAGAATTATATTGTGCAATAAAATGATTCCATTTTAAAAAATGGCGACTATAAAATGTCAACAATGGCTTTATTTACAAATAAATCAATATCATGTCATATAGCCTTCTCGAAATCTTATAATTTTTGTTCAATAGCGAATTCGATTGAGCGCGCACTGAGTGTCTCACTTTTATTAATGTCGATAGAAGTCTGTCTCACTTTTATTAATATCGATAGAAGTGAGAGAGGGAGCATTCAGTACACTCAATTGAATTTGCTATTTAGACTCGACTCTCTTGCAGCGCGATATGAATTGTGTGACGTCAAAGACGAGAAATGATAAATGTTTCTTGTGTCATAAAGCTTTATTTTGTATTTTTGTGTTTGTATTTATTTTGTATTTTGTATTTTTTTTCTTAAAAGCATGATATTTTTACATTCTTAAAACTTTTATACCAGTAAAAATACCAGAAAGTAAATAAATAAAGAAAATAAATAAAATATCTGTCCAATAAATCATGTAAAAGTGTAAAATAACTCTTGAAATAATTTAGTTCAGAAATATCAGAAACAATAAGATGTAGTGATCTAATGATTTCTGATAGCTGAACAGTGTACCATTATTTTAAGAATTATTTTACACTTTTACGTGATTTATTGAATAGATATCTTACTTTCTGATATTTTTTTAGTTTATTTTTAAAAATATAAAAATATCATGTTTTTAAGGGAAAAGTATAAAATAAAGCTATATGACACAAGAAACGTTACATGTCATTTCTCATCTCTGACGTCACACAATCCATGTCATGCCGCGAGAGAACTGAACCTTAAGGCTTCTAACTATATATGCTAGAATGAGATCTTGGTTCATCGAGGATTAAGTAAGGAAGAGAAACAAAGAAAAACATGTATATGTGTGCTCATGTACGTGCTCCTTCTTTATATGCAGTTTCCCTCATTTTTGACTTATTGCAGCCATATTTAGAATCGTGACGTCATTTCTCATTTCTCATAAGTGAGAAATGACAATTACATTCAGCAGAAAAAACAGTTTTGTAACTATTGTCAAATTTTTTAATATATTTATACATTTAGATCTATGAGGAATGAAAAGCAAACACCAATAAAAAATTTTATAATGGTTGTACAGTTGCTTTTTCTGTTGAATGCAATCTGTGTTGTTTCTCGCTTATGACATCATGATTCCAATTATGGTTGCGAACACTTTACTATCATCAATATGGAGTTCTTAATTGAGTACTCAGAAGTTTTAAACTAAAGATTTTGTTCCAGAATCTAGAATTATTGTTAATTTCTTTGGCTTAATTCTTTCTAATGTTATTAGGCTGCTTTTCGTGAGCCACGTTTGCTGATCGTTACGGATCCATCTACTGATCATCAACCTATTACCGAGGCGAGTTATGTAAATATTCCGGTTATCGCTTTCTGCAATACCGATTCACCATTGCGTTTCGTGGACATTGCAATTCCTTGTAATACCAAGAGCTTACATACTGTTGGCTTAATGTGGTGGTTGCTTGCCAGAGAAGTACTGCGCTTGAGAGGATCTATTCCACGTGAAACCAAGTGGGATGTGGTGGTTGATCTTTTCTTTTACAGAGACCCTGAAGAGGTTTGTACAAACTCTTCATTTATTATCTTTATATTTGATTGTTTCTTGTTCTAAATTTATCATGATGAAACAATAGAATCCAGAAATAAATCTGTTGGTTTTTTTTTAATGGCTTAATCTTTTCTGACAAAAATAGAATAAATGTTCCTTGATGCACTGTGTATTTTTGTTATCAATAATGAGTTGCAAAATATGTCCAGGCAGAAAAAGAGGAACAAGCTGCAAAGGAGATCGCACCGGTAAAAGAATTCTCTGGTCCGGTAGAGACCGCTCCTGCTCCGGAACCTGGTTGGGTAAATGAAGTTGAGTCAACTGCTGTAGCAACCGAAAATTGGGCCGATGACGTAGCACCACCAGCGGCTGCTGCTCTTCCTGCAACAGGCACCGCGCAGTCATTTCAAAGCAGTGGCGATTGGGCTGCTCAGGTGAGACATTCACTAAGTTTCTAATTAAGGCTCCTGAGTAGTCGCCGCGGTCATATTGGAATCGTGACGTCATAAGCGAGAAACGACACTTAAAAGTTTGTTTACGCTTTTCCTGCAAATAAAGAGATGTTGCAATAAAATAACACTTGAGATAGTTTTAAGACACTTGTTCTAAATGGAACGCTACAATCCTTTTCCTTCCTGACAGTCAATAAATAGTTGTAAAAGACACGTAAAATGAAGCCTATTCCGGCAGAAAACACGATTTGACAGCTGTTTAAAGAGATGAAAAGTATGCTTTCATATAAAATCAAAAGATAACTTTTGTAGTGTTTTTACGACTTTGATAAGCACAAAAAAAACTCACGTTTTCATGATTAAGCACAAAATAATGTAATAAAGTGTAGCGTAAAATTTCGTTGTCCGCACGTCACTTATATAAAAATGAACAAGGACAAGAATGAGATGAACAAAAATGAGTGAACTTTTATTTTTTTACCGCGACGGTACGACGCTATCGTCAACGCGGAATTTTTAGTTGAATACTCAGGAGCCTTAAACTTGATTGATCTTATTAACATTTCTTAGTTTACAATTCTTTCTCTCTCTCTCTCTCTCCCTCTCCCCTCCCCTCCCCTCCCCTTCCTCCCTCCCTCCCC